ACTCAGCAATAGGCCGGATAGGTTTGCTCTGGTGTCATAACTCCAATGAATGCACAGCAGCCCTCTTCCTCTGTATGGGAGTGTAAAAAGTTGGCTCTTCTTGTTACAGACCCCCAGGATACACAGACTGGAGGATGGAATGAAAAGATTGTATTCCCCAGTTTCTTACTGGGATACTTTGTCCATGCAAACCAAACAGCATATTGTACCACTCAAAAGTGTAGGCATGCCTAGTCCCTCCTTCCTGACACACGGCAAACTTTTATATGCTTAATAATTACATTACATGCGTGTAGACGTGCTAATGTCCCATGACGTCACCCCTGCTCCAAAACATCCACACGCTCCCCCTGTCGCACAAGGACCTTCACCTGTACCTCACCGCCGGAAACCTGACCATACAGACGGAGCCAGTCTTAGGATATGAGATCAGAAATCAGCATAGAAAGTTGAAATGAGAATAATTGTAGTAGGAGCAGCAGTGAGTCTTCACTGGTGTGTACATGCAGTTTCTGATGGGTTAGCAGAAAAAAAAAAAAGAGTACCAATTTGTACCCTCAAGGGTCGGCCAATTGTACCCTAGCTATAGGTAATTGTACCTTTTAAAGTACAGAAATGAACTCTGAGGAACATTTGTACCTTTGGGATTACATTAATGTTGTTTGTACCTTGTGGATGTTCCTCAGTCCATTTCTGTACCTTCAATTCAATTTATTTTATATAGCGCCTTTCACAACAGAAATTAGACTAAAAGGCACATTTACCTACAGCTAGGGTACAACTGGCAGACCCTTGAGGGTACAGCCCCAGTGACGAGCAAAGGTACAAATCGGTACTCTCTCTTTTTCTGACAGTGCAGGATGGATCAGGGAGAGTGATACTGTGTTGTCATGATGCCTTCTGCTTGCTGTGGGTTCGACTGGACAGGCTAACAATGCCTGTGCCACACCGGCAAGAAAGCCAGAGCGAAGGAGAAACGATCCTGGACACCAGCGGGACTGATGGGAGAAGAGTCTGCCGGCCAGTTACTGCAGGTGTCCCTTGTGTATAAAACACTACAGCCAATGTGCAGCTGAGGGGAAAATTCATTTGCTGTTGCCTGATTACATTATAGCACTTTGCTCCAGGAGTCTCTTAAATATTCTGCATCAGCAGCGATATTCATAGGGACAGATTCTCATCCCATAGAATAAAGAACAGCATTGGCAATAAGGGGACAAAAAGCAATTTGCTCTGGAGATTTTGCTGGAAATTTGCCTCCAGCAAACCCAAGGCCATTAGGGCCTTTTTAAAGCCCGCTTACTGCTATCACAGCACCACACTAGGATGGCGAATGCCGTGTGGAGCGCTCAGCAAACGTTTAGAAAAAAACAGTCTGTAAACTGTCTCACCCCATGCAGGGAACGGACATTTGAATATGCGGCGCCTGGAATTAACGCGACAGAACAGCAAACTCAAAAGCCCCTCAGATGAAATCTGGATTTCACACACAGCCTTTCACACAACCTTGAACTCAAAATTAAACCCGCCGCTCGATTTTAAAGCGAGGACAGAGCGGAAGAAAACAGCCAATTTGGTTCTTTAAATAATGTGGCCCCAGTAATTTCAGGAATCTAGACGGGGTTAAGGGGAATAGTAAACAAAATATGATAATGGTTTAGCTCACAGTTAATTCATTTTCATCCTTCAGGGCAATTTTTATTGCCTCTTCACAACCAATCGCTGTGCTCATTGACCAAAGAGCATACCAGGGCAAAAACAGCATAATGGGGGTTAGGGAGAAAATGTGTTAATATAAATGTAAATAAGGTAATCTAAGACGACTTTTCCCTTAAAATGAACACAAAAAATAACAGACAGCATTACTGGAGAGCAGGGCTGAGGTGTGGCCCACGTGCTTAGCGCTGGATGATCCTGTTATCTCATGGTAAGGCCTCCACAGCGGGGAGACTCGGGGCTGCAGTGGGTGTTTTTGCACCAATTTTCATCAAGTGATCAATCGCGTAATCACTTATGTGCTAAGTGTGACAGAAGCCGCGGCCACATCGAGACACTGGTGCCTCTTGGTGAGCGAAGACCGCTCTGGATTTATTTCCGCGAAGCAAAATATGTTTTGTAGCAAAATTAGCCAGTTAGCAGCTAATAAGGACATCGTGAGAACAAAAGCCCAGCGCAGTGTGGCCCGGGGGGGGGGGGGGGGGGGCGAACAGGCGTGTCGCAACACTGCTGACTGAAGGAAAAGAGAGACATGCGGGCGACAAGGAGCAACCGAGGCAGGTGTGTGGTGGAAAAATCTGTGCTGGAAAGATATTTGGCAGTATTTAGCCAAATAGAAGAGAGCAGTTTCACATGCTAGACATCCATTTATTGCAATAATGTACCTGTTCGGCTATTATAAAGACTATTATAAAGATTAAGTAATCTGACTGGCCCTGGCTCTGTAGCGGAGACACGTCTGGCTCCACGTGGGACCCCCCCGCCCTGCAATGTCTGAGATTCAAATCCATTTCTGGCATAAGATTAATTATTCCCAGTCTCCTACTGCCCTACATTCCACGGTCTGGATGCGTGCCAACAACTCTCTCCCTCTCTCCTTTTCCTTCTCTCTCGTTTCTTTTTTTTTTTTCCCTCCATCTCGCCCCTTCTTCTGCACATCCTGCCGTTTTTCGTTTCTGCTACGCGGCATCACGCGGCCATCCGGCGACGCTGAGACACACATCCCCAGTGCACATCCATTTGAACCCAAAGGCGTGAACGTGAAGCGGTGCAAAGACTATGAGTTGTGAATTTGCACTGGCTCCTTTCAGCGCTTTTCACTGTTTGCTATTATCTTTCCCAAATCCTTTGTGCTCACAGTATTTATAGACACAGAAACTTCCAGTGCCTGAAAAGCCAGACCAAACAAAACGATGCCAGAGGCAGGTTACGGCATGCACTGTAACACACTGCCTACCCCCCCCCCACCACTCCTCAACCCACCCACCTCCTCCCCCAAAGAACTCCTCTCCCACATCCTCCCCAAGCTCCCTTACTTCCGCACACAGGCTCATGAGGGGAGAAAAAAATAAAGAGTTGTCACACTGCTTTCATCATGCAGACAGACACAGCGGTGTAACTGAGCGTCTGTGTCAGTCTTTCTGCAGGACATCCATGCTGAATTTTTTGGGAGGTTTTAATTTGTCCAGCTTGGCTCTACTTACCTCGACTGAACTCCCCCCCATATCAGTGTCGTCTTAGCGACCGCATGCCTACTGAGAACGCCACCCCCACCCCGTCTCCGTTGTTCTGTCGGTCTCCCACCCCCACGAAAGCACTCGCTAAACACTTTTATATTTACCGTATCCTATAACTGCGACCCCCAACACACACACCCATCCTAAGAGCCCCTACTCACCCACCCCCCCCCATGAATACAATTGCGTTTGCATCCACCTTTTAATCAATATGCACCCATTTGCATACAGGTGGAGCTGCGGACCCCCCTCCCATGTCGGAGGACTTGGCACGGGGCCAGGAAGCATGAAGCAGCCAGAAGCTGATAATGGTGTTGAAGGGCACAGAGAACTTAAATTATATATATAATGTTGGTGTGAGTTTTACATAAGAAAAAAAAATCCAGACGGAAATGTTTTTTGACACTGATCTTGGGGGAGGAGTGGGCAGAGAGGGGGCACAGGGACGAACACGAGCTCAGCTGCGTCCCGTCGACACCAAAATCAGCAACAGATTTTCTTACACTAATTAAAGATACGGAGGCAGAACGCATGCTGGCACGCGAGGCCCTTTTACAAACTGCCGTTAATTAACAACCCACTTTCCATCCCACAGATTAGCTTGAGGTGGAGGGGGGGGGGGGCGCTTTCTCTGTTCCTTTGGGATGGCAGGACAGACGGGGCGATATTTCAGGTTAACAGGCTCTGTGGAAATCAGAAATCAGTCAGGACACGGGAAGCAGCATCACGTCACGTCAAGCAGGTGCTGTGTGGATCCTTTCATCCTTTCTCCGTCTCTGCTTGTCTTCCTTCCTTTCTCTATCTGTCTCTCTCTCTCTCTCTCTCCACGGAATAGTGAGAGAGAGGGAAGGAGAGAATGTGAGACAGCAGGAGAGCACATGGTCTGCCGCTGGTGGGAAGGGAAAATGGGCAGACGCCATTTTGAGAACACAAACATCATCTTAACAAAGTGTGTGACAATGGGGAGGCGTTCGAAGACACTGTGGCTTATACAGACAGAAAGAGACCCCCCCACATCAAAGTATGGCAAACAGCATCGGGCTCTATGTCAAATGTTCCCTGATCTTGGAGAGCAAGGGGGAGGTAGGCAAAAAGAGAATTTCCCCAGAGGGATCAATAAAGTGTCATTATTATTATTATTATTATTATAATAATACTATTATAAAAGTATTATTATTATTAAGTATAATTTCCTAAAGCAATTTAGGTAAAATACTTCTTGGTCCAGTTCTTTAACTACTATGCTACTGCTTGGTCACATTCAGGTCACATCCATAACCTCACAAATGCTTCTGACCTCAACCTGTTTATATCCCCGTTCGACACATTTGCAGCAATAATGGAAAGTGACAGTGTAACACACAAGCCAACCGATTGGCTGTGAGGGCATCCAATCGGAACTCTGTTTTGAAACCGATAACTTCTGGGTTAGAAGGAGAACACTGCGAGGTGGATGAGGGTCGTGACCTTCCCTGGTGTCATCTGCTAACAACCATCCCACAGTCCCACTAGAGCAGTGAACTATGGCTGTCAGATACCCAACCACCCCCTGGACAAGCAAACAAAGCCAGCAGACACAAACATCACTGCCATCTGGTCTGGGGGAGAATGAGCTATCAGGTTTTTCATTTTAATATAATTAGTATTGTGTAGCCAAACACAAACACTGACTAATGACCAGGGGGCAATTACCTATGCAAATGTAGCCCTTTATTTTTAAAGCATGTTTGAATGCTTTGAAATCAAACTAATGAGAAGCAAAACAAATACAAAAGAATGTTGCTCTTTATTTTTGGAAGATATGTTAATCAAGTATTTCTGTAGTTTTTTCGTTTTTTTTTTTTTTTTAAAGCCAGTACAAAGGAATTTATCTGACAAAATGAACTTACATCAAAAGACACACAAATGTTTGACGCTTCAGAGAGCGGGAGAGTGACAGTTTCTGATCGTGGGGAGCTGCAATGTTCCCGCAGTACAGCATTTGCCAACCCGGTCGTCAGAGACCCCCAGACAGGCAGGGCACTGGGAGGGAGGAAAAACGGGGGCAACCGGGTCGGCAAACACTGCTGTAGTAAACTCTGTGTGTTGCAGCTCCCAGCAGAAGCACCAGCACCGGCTGACAGGAGTCAAACAGGACGTAGATAAAGGAAACAGAACGAAAAAGACATTATGAGCCCTGCCGTCTGTCAGCCCCCTAAAGTAATGTAGGCAGAAATTGTCTGGGTGCGGGGAGGGGGGGGTGTTTGCTCTAGAATCTCCACCGGAGATCTGTGCAGCGCCTGGATCGTTCTAAATCCCGTTATTCTGCAGGCGTCTCAGCTGGGGAACATTTAAAAGACACAGGAAAGCGCTTCTCCATCAGGCCGCGTGTCTTTGCCGCTGTGTGTGTCTGCCTGTATGTCTCTGTAGGGCTGCCTCTGTCTTGTCGCCAAGTCCTTTTAAATTTGCAATGTGAATAAATATTACTCAGATCGATTCCTATTACTCATCACAGAAACCGACTCCCGTTAATGTATGACAGAACAACAAAGAAGTATTTATTCCTTACGTTCCCCTCTCCCACGAGAAACGGCACAACAAACAAAGCAGTAATCATTACATAAAAATCATTAAAAAATAAAGAATGTTGGAAGTACTCTTAAGGTGTGCCACTGCGAACACAAAAGAGAAACGACGGTGATGTCCAGGTGATTTTATCATAACTTTTAACACAAAGTTTTCAAAATAGCGAAAAAAATAAGCAACCCCATGTGCCTGGACCCCTTTATCGACAGACGAAAAAAGAGTAACGTCCACAAACGCCACAAAACAGCGAAGCGATCAGCCCCGTCTGTCCCAACACCATGTGATGATGAGTCTGCTTCCTCCCAAGGTTCTCTCCTTCTAGGGAGTTTTTCCTTGCCACTGTCATCTTTGGCTTGCTCATTGGGGGCTTTGGGTGGGCATAATGTAAAGCGCTTTGAGACAATGTAACATTGTGAAAATGCAGTATACAAATTGAATTGAATTGAAATAATTGAACTGATGATACCTAAAGAAGCTCCGTTTGGGCTTCATTTGGTTTAATTTATCATTGTAAAATAACTGAGGTTTCGTTCCGATGTATTTGAGGACATATCTTTTAAAAACCAGACTTTTAAAAAGCTCCTCTGATGCAGCCTGGCTTTACCCAGACAGGCTGCTTTTCTGTGACGGAGCCAGTTACGGTCTAAAGCGCCAGTCCCAAAACTGTTCAAGGTGGTTCATCTACCACACTCGGCGGGGGTCAGATGAAATAACACGAGGACAGGCGCTTAAAGGCACAAGGAGACACCAAGAAAAGCTCAGAGCCAGATCAGATGCGACCCCCGATGGCACGTGTGCTCGCTGGGGTGGGGGCTGGGGGTGCATATGGGGAGGGAGGGGGTTTCTACAGCTCATGGGAGGTGACGTCCTGCTCGTCAAAGCCGTTGGTCTGCGCGTTGCACTCGTTGAGCCTGCGGACACGGTATCCCTCATAGTGGATGCTGCTGGTGATGTCCTTGATGTTCTGCATGTGGGACCTGAACGACAGTGCAGGCGCAAACATAGATATACATGCGTGTGCAGATGGACACATGCTTGGAGGACCAAGTCTTTACAGCAGTGCGTTTAATATGAGGAAACTGGAGATTCACTTACCTAATGAGAAGGTCTCTCAAATAGGCAAATTCACAGTGGGCAATATTTTCAACTGCAAATTACACAACAAAGTCAAAGTTAGGAGCAAGTTCTCCTCAATATACATTTCTGGGCAAAAGACTTATAAATCATTACTCCAGTTACAAATCATTAATCGGCTATTCTAAAAATGATCAAACTAATACATTCTCTAGTACAGGATTGTGGAGGCAGGTAACTGCCAGTCTCACCAGGAGAACCAGTATGAAGATATACAGATTAAATGAGCCGTTATAGGAGATGCGCCTCGACAAGTGCAATTCTCCTGTTTTCCAGTAGGTGGCAGTGTTGCTATCAATGTTTTATATGACAGCTACAAGTAGATTATCATCTCTCAAGATAAGAAATCGCTCAGCGTGCCGCAGAGTTTAATTCATTTGAACCTCTTTAGGGAAGATAAGCCTGAGAGCTTGACAAATTATGGGTGAAGAACGGGAGCCGGGATGGTGGTGGAGATTGCGTGTAAATTACAGACTGGCCTGAGGTTCGAGGTAAGGAAAGCAGCTGTTTATGTGACTGAGATGCAGGCACTTGCTTGAAGAGGAAATTATACTTGTTTTGACTTCTATGGAAAGCGATTTTGTTTAATTATCAGTTTTCACATCTGGAATGCTGTAGTTAGTATGGAAAGATGGAGGGAGTAAGCAGTAAAGGGGCCCCCTCCCCCAGGCCCCGCCCTGAGCTCTCTCACCTTCTATGGTCCCCCATTTGGTCTTCCGCCCAAGCAGCCTCCGCCCGTTGACTTGGCACTCCTGGTCGCTGCCCACCACGGCAAATGGCACCATGCCCTATGGAGCCAGTGGGTGTTAACGGCACGGAAAGAAAGAAACTTCCACTGTTTTCTGAACGTGAGGAAAGAGACGTCAGGAAGTACGGAAAAGGTGGGGTGGCCGACTGGACCCCCCAGCTCACCCTGATCCTCTCGTTGATCGCCCGGTCCTCTGCGTCTTCGTCGAATTCCTTTTGGGGGTACACGTCAATGTCGTTGGCCTGTAGCTCCTCCCTGATCTGTGAGGACGCATTGAAAAATGAAACAGACGCAACTTGATGCAAGAGTGATGAGTCCGTACAATAATATATTCAAAGCAGAATTCATTTTTAATGTAGCCATTAGTATAGCCACAGCTGGTACCAGGCAGCCAATCACAGCTGATTCCAGGCTGGCTGTCTGTGCCCTGATTGGACACTAGTGACAGGTTGGCATACTACTGAAGCAGCGCTGCAGGGCCGGCCGCTTCACCTTGTTTTTGAAGAAGTCCCTCTCCTCCAGGGTCAGGGTGTCGGCCTTGGCGATGACGGGGACGATGTTCACCACTTTGCTCAGGCGTCTCATGAACTCAACGTCAAGGGGCCTGAGGCTGCGCAAGGGCAGAGTCACGTGTCATGTGAAGCCTGTAATACCGCACGTCTGGATCCAATAAGCTTCAGGTTTAAAAGAAGCAAAGACCAGATGGTCTGTAAAACATAATGATTGCTGTGTTTGTGGGAGTTTTACTTACACAAAAATGTTCTGAGGGCAGAACAAAAAATGAGATTCCGAAAGATAACCAATCAGATTGTAGAGGAGGCGGGACCAATACTTCTGATTGGCTGGTCCTGTCTCCTGTAGTTGCTTGGACCTGCTTCCTCTACAATGTGATTGGTTATCTATCTGAACCAATAATTTTTTTTTTTGTGTAAGTAAAACTCCCTCGAGCGGCTACTGAACTCTGGAACAGGTCCAGGGGGCATGTATTGGGATGTTTTGGGATGCCTGGTCTGCAAATAATAAGGTCAAATATAATAAGGACAAAACATCTTGAGATCTTAAAAAGATATGAATGAAAAGAAAAAACAATCAATTAAAACAAAAAAAGCAGCTACTAAGAAATATTACCACTGACAGGAAGACATCGGCTTCACATTCGGATTTAGTGCCTCTGCAACACATGAACACTGACAGGAAATCTACTCCCCTGTCCAGTTCTACGCTCGTAATTTCAGGCTCCAAATACAACACACAGCGGCTGACGTGAAGGACAGCCAGACGCACACTCTTTGCAAGAAAACAAAGGATCACCCCAAAGGGACAAGTTCATATGGGGTAGAGAGAGCTTTTCTCCGTGAACCGCAGACAGAGCAGAACTCAATAGGTGGCGCTGTTCGACCCCGAAAGGAAGGTTCGGAGACGAAATGCGAAGCGGCCTCCAGCTGCACCTTAAAAGTGGTTTATTAGCCAAACCGAGCTGTATAAGTGTGTATGATATGGTTAAAGTGTAGAAGCCATTTGCTGCTATTTTTTTTTTAAGTGGGAACATCATCAGGGAGAATACGTCGGCACGGCAACTCCGAACTCGGTGACAAATGAACCGTGCCGGCAGCTGGATAATTCCCCCCCCCGCACTCGGTGAGCAACGTGCGTATAGTTGAAGAGGCGGCTAAACAAAAGGGGGCACTGTAGCTGTCTGCAGCTCACCCAGGGACAAGGTGTCCTGCCCGCCTCTTCTCCAGTTACCACAGCTGTCTCCGGCTGCCCCAGGCCCCGCACAGAACGCTCATTGTCCGCTAATCCTCTGATTGCCGCGGCCCACTCTGCTGCCCCCTGGGTGCTTCAAAGCCGGACAGCAGCTGCGGACAGGCCCGGGGAGACACACACCGGCACCGCGCAGCCTGTTTCGGCACGCCAGACCGGATCACGCCAGACCGGATCACGGCAGACCGGATCACGCCAGACCGGATCACGG